GCTCGGTCCGGTCCGGTCGGGTCCGATCCGATTCGGTTCGTGGCGCGGCAGGTCCCCGTTCGCCGCGTGCGGCGGGCAGCGGGGACGGGGGGAAGGGACGGCGCCGTGCGGCCGCCGCGGTAACGCGGGGCACGCGGGCATCTCCTCAGCCATTTTGTTGTTCGGGCAGCGGGAGCGCCCTCCCTTCCCCCCGCCGCCGTGCCCATATCTGTAATTGATGATTTAATCCCCTGCGCGACCAAAAGGCAGCTTCTGGGGATTTATTTTTTTAGGGCACTTAAGTACATGCTTACAGTGTTAGCAGCTCTTCATGTCCATGCTTCTTTCTCTCTTCGAATTTTTTATCAACAGTCTAGGTTTCCTGCACTTTTTTTTTTTAATCTGCTTCTTACATATTGATGCCTTTACGTAGTTCCTTACTTGGAGACTTAAAATATTTAAACTGACATGTTGTCAAAGGAAACCGTCCATCTCCATGCCATTACCTCATGGTCTCACCGAGTTATTGCTGCTGTTTCAAATTGACCATCATGGTGTCCCAGTTCACCCAATCCACCCATTTCACCAATCCCCTCAAAATCTACAGCTTCCTCAGGCTTCACTTCACGATACTTTACAACAAACACAAGTTCAGGGCTTCGAAGGGCTTCGACAGGTCCGTGTGTTGCAGGAGCAGCACCCAGGATCTCCCAATATCTTGTTGCGGGGCTTCGTGTGGAGACATCGTGCCCTGTTAAGCAGAGGCCGTTCGAGGTGCACAGCCCTGTACCCCATTTTGTCCAGGTCCCTGGTGACAGGGAAGAGTTCAAAATGGTCACACAGAGGAAGCCACATCTACTTTCCAATGAATTAATGACAATCCTTAGTAGGAACTTGTCATCAAAACAATTTAAGGAGGAAATTCCAAAAGCGTTTTGTTTTATGCAGTTTGGCCGGCCTCTCTGAGGAAAGCCACAGCAGGCTAATAGCCCTTGCCAGCACGAAGACAAAAAGGCTGAACAGCAGCAGGCTTTGTCTTTCCTGCTCTGCCACTCAGATCTTTTTCTTTTTTTTTTTCATGTCTTTTTTTTTTTAACCGTGGTCTTTGATATTTTGCCAAACTTCTGCAATTAAATACAATGCTTTTTTTTTTTTTTTTTTTTTTTTTTTTGCTCATGCAGCAGTAAAGACTCGTAGCTTTCCTAATGATGGATATCTACCTCTGAGCTGCTAGCCAGGCAACAAATTAAAATTCCCCAATATTTGTGGCTGCAAACTAAATCTGAATTCTCGGCAGCTGCTCAAGTTTTCTGTTTGTTTCCAAACTTGATCGGCGCGGGCTCACCCTCCTGCCGAGGCTCTGGAAAGTGGCAGAATGAGAGGGATAGGGACACCCTCTTGCTAATTAAACCGACTCAATGTTGGGGCTAATTCAACCTATTGCAAATACAGATTGGCTGACTTGAGTTACTCTTCTCAGTGGGCCACCTTTATTAAATTTTGGGCCCAAATTTGCCACAGAATAAGCCCAGGAAAAAGCCACTTGTTTCAAAAACATTTACCAGCTGCTTTTAATTTTGTTATAGAGACCTGTCTAAAATTGTTTGATGCCTTCTCAATAGGAAATAACATCTCAAACGTACAGCCTTTCCTGGGCACAGGAAACGACCCGCATATCAAGTGTTTTTGTTGGATTCTGTTGCAAATACTCACCTATAAAGTTACCGTAACATTGTTCCTTTTGCTATAGCACTGAATTATTCAATATGATCATCCACCACCCCCTTAAAAGATCTCTTTCACTGTTAATTATTAAGAGGTGTACCTCTGCTTTCTTAACTAATTCCGATATTTCTTATGAAGGGAGCCTGCTCCTGCAGTCATTTGCGGGTCGCAAGTGCCTATTACGGAGTAGGTGCTGCATATGCAAGTATTCCCCACACTGTGTCCATGCAACTTGGTTCGTACCCACCTCTGGCAGCTGCACATTCTAGGGGGCACAGTTAGACTGCATGATAAAAGGATATAAGTATATGAATGTGCCTTCTCCGTTTCTGGCCCCGCTGTTCCTGACACTCGCTCCCCGCCCCCTTGCACGGCCTTTGTTCCCGGCCTTCCTTGGAGGCTCACAGGCCGCGCGGGCGACGGGAACGCGCTCCTCTTTCATGGGAAGCTGCGAGACGGGGAGAGCGCAGGGGCCCTGGCCTCACTGCTGGCGCTGGGGCCCCGTGAGGGACACGCACGGCGGGGTGGAAACGCGGAGTCACCGGGGCTCGGCGCTGCGAACTCCACACGGTTCTGAAGAGGTTCCGGTTGGGTAGTTCACTGCTCCTTTCCGTATAAAGCTAATGTCAACTGTTGTCATTTGGGGAAGGTTTCAGCATGGGGCGTTTTTAGGCAAAATCGCTTTTGTTTCTATATGCTGTGATTTCACGCTCAGCTCTGGTCCCGTTTTATTTTATTAATTATGTACCAAGTGCATCTGTGTCAAATCTGAGGTACAAATTTGAAACCTGATGGCTTAAGTATATACAAATTGTCATAAAGTATAAACTGTTGTCTTAAAAATAAGACGTTGTGACCCTTTTTCCTTGCTCTGTGCTATTACAGTGTTTAAAACGTTGCTGGTGAAACATTGTTTGCAAAAATTGATTTTTATCTCTCTATCATTCCAGGTTTATGAAGAGCAGTTGGCAGCATTTTGGGTAGCATGTTTCACACTCTGTCTTGTAAAGCCATTTTCCTTCCCCTGCTGTTTGTATAAAGTCCCTCATTCACACTGAAATCAGGAAGGGAAAAGACAAGACTTAAGAAACAAAAATAAAATAAAATAAAATAAAATAAAATAAAATAAAATAAAATAAAGCCAGGTATTCTCAGGAGTAGGAAAGCCACATGCAATCCCCATGCTTTATAATTATTATCAGCTAAACTTTAATTTGACTTTCTCTTCTTAAATGTATAAACAAAATGCGTGTGATTGATAGTAAGAAAAATATACATAATGACTCCAAATGATATAAAGTGCAAGACAATGATATAAAGTGCAAAAAGCAAGACAATCAGCTAATTCCATACTTTTTTTTTTTTTAGAAAGAAACATAAAATGAATCTTACATAATTTTCTGGCCATGTTTGTCTTGATATTTCTTTTATTTAAAGTCATGGATCTGTATTTTTGTTTTTTTAAGGTATTTTACAAAAACTCAAAATGAGATTGTTAAAAACAGTGGTGTTATGGCTATGAGGATGCACAGAAAATTTCTCATTTTCCTTTTATACATTCCAAAATGTCCCATAAAATCGTTTTTAAAGCTTACTGCATTGACCCTAAGAAGAAGAGCCAAGTGCCCATGGTCTGTCTAAATTGCATTCAAATCATTGTTTATATTCAGTTGACATTTTTAATGTTTATTTTGGGGCATATAGCAGATATTCACAAATGGAAGATTTTTCAGCTAGTTTGAAGTAGTATAAGGACTTATCCTATGTTGGCAGTTGGCCGGTAAAGCCTGTTCCTGTGCTTGGAGTGAGCGGGCCTGAGGCTTGATGGTACCTGTGAGATCCTTTTTACAGTCAACAATGTCTGTGAAATAAAATGATGCTTATAATCTATGGGAAGATCTATAAAATGAGAATTTTTAGAGATTATCATTTATAGTTTATGTTCATGATCTACATAATGATTTCCCTTACGGAAAGCAGATATTCCTGTGTCCAGCCATTTCCTGGAGCTCTGTGAAGGGGAGTCTGAGTCACCTGGGTCACCTGAGCCACCCCAGTCCTTCAGTGATGTCCATTAGTCACCTTAGTCACCGGGAAGGCAGCAGATAAGATACACGAAGGCAATAAAACATGTGCTAAAAATGCTGCCTGCTTTAACAACCAGTATTTGTTTTTAACAAGCTAAACTTGGCGCAAATGCCCTGTGGTCGAGTCCCCCTTGCTCGCTGGCTGTTTCGTGGTGGTTTCATTGCTTTGTGTCCGTGTGAGTGTTCGTGTGCAGGCGTGAACTTCTCTCCACTTCCCCTAGCAAGGTTGATTTACCAGCACTGCTTGTGCCGTAGGGCGCCCCAAAGGCACCCTTTGATGGCCTCGAAGGGGCTCTTCTGGCAGGAGGCACCAGGCACACAGAAGCAGTGTTGGGCAGGACATTTATTGCATGGGTATTTGCCATCCTATGGGCAAAGATGTAGACACACAAAGTGGTGAGATGGTGGCTTGTGCTGGTGATCATCAAAACCTGGGAACAAGAAAGCGACCATTCTGGCACGAAGAATAAACTCCTCTGTGTTGCTCATTGCACAGAAGAGAACATGTATGAAAACTGCTTTTTTCTTTTTTTCTTTTTTCATTTTTTTGGCAGGGGGAATAGACCCTTGTAGACTGAGAGAAGGAAATGAGGGCAGGAAAACAGGCTGTTTAAGTACAGTGGCCAGAGCAAGGCTAATTTCAGTCAGAAATTAGCTCCCCAAGGCACAAAGGTGTGACAAGGTTTCAGTTTAAGAGTTCTCACAAGTGGGTAGAAATGATTACTGGTGAATTAACAGTGTATTCCAGCTTTGCTCTTGGAAAGATGGGTGCTGCAGGTATTTGACAAACTTTCTGACTGAGACCAAAGAGGCATAAACTTACTGAGTTAAGTCTGGGGAAAAAAAAAAAGAAAAGAAAAAATAGAAGGAAGAAAGAAAAGAGAAAGTAAAAGAAATGCATTGTTAAAAAGCTACCTGGAATGGAGGCTCTTTTTAGGCAAAAATAGCTGAAGCTGTTGTCCCAGGCTGAGCCACAGACTTTTTAAGCCATGGGTTAGAAATTCCTGCCTCATCTCCCATGCAGTGGGTGAAAGCAGCCCCGGATGACAACAATAGTGTGTCTGCTTGTTAATGCTGTTAATACCCGCTGCTCCTGAACTGTGCCAAGCATGCTGCTTGCCCGACAAAAGACAGACTCAGCATTGGTCTGCTGCTATGTTCGTAGGCACACGAAGGGGGAAAAATAAGAACTGAAACAGCGTTAGGACACTGACTTTAAAGGGAAAGTTTTTAGTATTTCCCAGGTCAAACTCATGGGGAAAAAAAAAAGAAAAAAAAAAGAAAATAGATATTACTTTATGGGTTCATAAAGAACTCATAAAAGAAGCAAGATCTTTGGATTTTCTGAAGCTCTTATCTAACTATAAGAATTGCCTTTAGATACATTTTAAATCCACTTTGAATTAAGCAGAGAGGCAATTAGGGTAAGAAGGGTTCATTTCAGCTAACCTATTAAAAAGCCAACAACCAGAGGCTGAAAATAACACTGCCAAATAACACTTTAAATAGTAGCACATCAAAGGCTTGACCCAAAGCCCATTTCTTGTGCTTGTGTAGGCCAGGATTTGGGAAAGTCCTGGAGTGGGCTCATTTTAGTTATCCTGGGAGAAAAAAGGGCAGGATTTGACACCCAAGCAGCAGACGTTTTCTTTAAGAATTCCTGCAGCCAAATTCAAGCTTATTTCTGCTCTTAGAGGTAAGGCACATCTCCTTGAGGGGCAAATACCTGCTGCAGGGGGAGCTTCCCAGAGACACTATTTATTCCCAGAGACACTACTTGTCCTGCCCGGTTCTAGCGGAAAGAGGGTGGATCGTTCATACCAATACAGTGCCCCTGCCCCGAGCTGCTCTCATGTTTTTACTCATCTTGCTTTGTATTTTTTTTAACTTACCAAGTGAAGTCTGGCTCTAGTACTGTGAACTGGAAAGGAATTAAGTGGCTGAAGTGCAAGTAACCTGTACCTGATCGCATTTGCAGAAAGGTGAACTGTGTAAGCTGTGTTCCATGGGTCCCTGCCTCGATGCCAGTGTGCCCTCTGGGCACACTTACAACAATTTTACTGCTCACAAAAGCTTGTATTAGATGCACCAGGAAGAATGGTATCATGAAAACCTGCTCAGTCTGCTCTGCTAGAAACCCCAGTGCTATTTGCAGTACAGTTCTCTTTCCTGTATATGGGGAAATGAGCTATGCCCAAGGAAGCCAGAGATTTCCACAGTCCAACTAAGGATCTCATTTGGACCTCTTGAGATTGTGAGAAATTTTTTATTTGCTTTGAATATGCAGTTTTACATATCTATATAAACCACTGATGTGTCACTCTTTTGGTAGGCAGCCTTATGTATATATTTTCATCTCTATTTTATGAAATCCATGGAACCAAAATTTTATCTGAGAAAGAATATATGATGCATTGCAAGTTGGAAATGCCGATTGGCAGGAATTTGCAGGTCCTCTGATCCAACCGTCTGCTCAAAGAAGGGCTAAATCAGGTTGCTCAGGGCTGTGTCCAGCCAAGTTTTGAAAATCTCCAGGATGGAAGTTCTACAACCTCTTGAGGTAATGACCTCTGATGCTGGAGCACTCTCATCATGAAAACTTTCCCTTCATTGGACCTTCCCTTGCCATAGCTTGTGGCTATTGCTCTGCCCTCTTGCTGTGTCCCTCTGAGAAGACTGTGGCTCCACCTTCCCTCTAAATGTCTTCTAGAGAGTAGAAGACTGCAGCTAGATTCCTCCTCCTCACCAACCTGGTTCCTCTAGATTAAGGCTCAGCCTCTCCTCACACATTATACATTTCAACCCCAGGGCCATCCTAGTTGCCATCCTCTGGACTCTCTCTGATTTGTCAATAACCTTCTGGAATTGAGGAGCCCAACACAAAACGTGTTATTCCAGATGCGGCCTCATGAATATCGCGCAAAGGAGAAGAGTGGCTCCCCTGGCCCCGGTGGCCGCGCTGCAGCTCGCGCAGCCCAGCGTGCGGGTGGCCTCTTCTTGCCACAAGGGTGCAGTGCGACTCGTGC